GGTGTGCGGGCCCCGGGGCGGCCCGCAGTGCCTCTCGTGCAGGCGCTTCCAGGCCGCGCGCCCCGCCAGCCCAGCTGCGGCGGGGAGCATACATCTAGGACTCCTGGATGGGGTAAGATAGATGGGGTCGAAGAATCGCGCCGCATCGCCGATGCACCGGCGATGCGGCTCGATGTGGAGCCCGATTTTCTCAGCTCTCAACGCCGATGGCGCTGATGCCTCGCCGACGTCGCCGATACATTGCCGATGCATCGGCGATGCGGCGCGATCCTCCGACCCCATCTACTCGGACCCCATCTGGGAGGCCTCTAATACAGTCGGGCCGCTGAAGAAGGAAGCCTTTTCGTTGGGGAGGGGCTCAGTGTCCCTCCAGTGTTTTACAGTTTGTCTTCGGTATTCTTCAGGCTTTAAAAAGTCAGAAATCGAAGATTGACTGATGGAAGCGAAGGGGCATCGCTCCTTACGTTGGATTCCTTATGACAGCGCTTCGACTGTCAGGATGCAAGGGGCGCCACGAGGCCCCACTGCGCCGAGCCGGTCGGCTCCCGGCAGGCACGGCTGCCCAATGTCGAGTGCTGCTCAGCAGAAGTGCTCCTGGCCCGAGGTGCCCCTGGGGATTTCCAGGGAGGCCCCCTGTACTCAGGAGGGAAAAAACACACAGACACAATGAATCGTCGATTCTTCAAAAATATAGGAAAATATGGACAGTGGGAGGGAAGACAGAAACCAAGAAAATATTGGGAAATATGGGGGATCGTTTTATTTGTGTGTATTTATTTGTGTGTCCTTGGGCCCCTTGATATACGGCCTCCAGGGGCCATCCCTCGCGAGGCCCCAGGAGGCCGCAAGGGCTCCCGAAGTGGGGCGGCAACTGGGGGCACCTTGGGCCAGGGATCCCTTTGGAAAAGCCCCCGACGGCGAGAGAGAGAGAGAGGGCGAGACGGGGGCGGCGAGGCGGGAGGAGGAGGAGGAGGAGGAGGAGGAGGAGGAGGAGGAGGAGGGCCGTTAACGATGCTGGCATAACCCCTCCCTCCAAGCTCCCTCTTCGCAGGCCCCTACAAGGGTTCGCTTCCACCGAAGGAACTGCCTCATTGGACGACAACCGTTCAAAGACCAGGGGGCATGCCAACACACTCTTCTCGGGACTCCAACGCCACGGATTGGCCTAACTGTTGCGTCTTAGCGATCTTGAATCGTGCCAGAACGCCAGTCTTGGGACCTCAACACCGCGAATCAACGTAACTCGTGCGCCTTCAGAATCCTGCATCTTTCCCAAACGCAATCTCTGGTACGTTGACCATGGGATTCTGTGCAATTCTTCTTATTTTTAGAAAAAAATGCGCGCGTTGTTCAGGCGAGAGCGACATGTTGAAAACGACATGCCCTCAATCCGTGAAGCTCTTGCAACTGTTTGACACGACTCTGCACGGCGCTAAGGCGAGAGCCACATTTTGAAAACCACCCGCCCGCAATCCGTGACGCTCTTGCTATGTTTAGACATTGATGTGCGCGGCGCTAAGGCGAGAGCCACATTTGAACACTACTTGCCCTCAATCCGTGAAACTCTTGCAAATTGTTGAATCGAATGTGCGCGGCAGGCAAGAGCTGGATTTCAAAAACCGCCTGTTCTCAATCCGTGAAATTTGCAACTGTTTAAAAATATGCACGCGGCGCTAAGGCGAGAGCCACATACTGAAAACGATCCGCCCTCCGTCTGTGAAACTGTTGCCATTTCTCTAGCTTCAGGATCATCTCAGGCGAAACGCCCGGCCCGCCTTTTCGACCAGCCTCGGAGTGCGACAGGGAGATTTGTTTATGAGGAAAAGGAATGGAGGAGGAGGAGGAGGAGGAGGAGGAGGAGGAGGAGGAGGAGGAGGAGGAGGAGGAGGGAGGAGGAGCAGGAGCAGAGGGAGAGGAGGAGGAGGAGGAGGAGGAGGAGGAGGAGGAGGATGAAGGAGGAGGAGGAGGAGGGTGTGACCAGAGACGGGGGGGGAGGATGCGGGGCCTCCTCGGGCCTGTGGGCCAACCGCCCCTGACCCAGGCCTCGGGAGGGCCGCGCGGCGCAGGGGAGTCATCTCCGCGCCCGCCACCCCCCGAGCCGGGAGGGCCACGGAAGGCACGGGGAGCGCGGGGGGCGCGAAGCGCGCACGGGCCGCAAGAGCATCCGGGGCCGTGACATCTCCCCGGATTTCACGGCCCACCCCTCCTCCGCCTCCTCCTCCTCCTCCTCTTCCACCTCGTCCTTCTCCACCTCCTCCTCCGCCTCTCTCCTCCTCCTCCTCTTCCTCCTCCTCTCTCCTCCTCCTCCTCCTCCGCCTCCTCCTCTCTCCTCCTCCTCCTCCCCCTCCCCCTCCTCCTCCTCCTCCTCCTCCTCCTCCTCCTCCTCCTCCTCCTCCTCCTCCTCCTCCACCTCCTCCTCCTCCTCCTCCTCCTCCTCCTCCCCCTCTTCCTCCTCCCCCTCCTCCTCCTCCTCCTCCTCCTCCTCCTCCTCCTCCTCCTTTTTCTCCTCCTCCTCCTCCTCCTCCTCCTCCTCCTCCTCCGCCTCTTGTCGCAGCGAGCCTCCTCGCGTGCCTCGGACCGTGGCTTGCGAGCCCTCCTCGTTTGGACGCCTCCGCGAGAGTGAGGGAGAGAGAGAGAGAGAGAGAGACAGAGACAGAGAAAGTGGAGGGAGAGAGAGAGAGAGAGAGAGACAGAGAGACAGAGAGAGAGAGAGAGAAATAATCAAATACAAAACAACAGAGGAAGGGGGACGCAAGCATACGGCGAGAGCACAGGTGGGACGTCAGGGCCCGCGGGACGAAGCAGGCGGCCCAGAGAGGCAGAGGGAGGCAAGGGGGGTGGCCGGAGAAGACGAGGAGAAGGGCGCATGAGGGAGGAGGGAGGACTTGGATGTTCTTGCCCGCGTGGGGCCTCTCTGGCGCGCCCTCGCCGCTCTCGGCCGCGTTCTCCACGGAAGTATGGTCGTCGACTTCGAGAGGAGGGGTCCAGGCGTCAAGGCGACGCGATAAACATCGGCACGGCTGGTGTCTCCAAGTGCTAGGCATCCTGAGGCCTGGCTCGTGCCCCGGGGTTACGCAAGTCAGAAGGGGTAAGTTGTGAGGATACTGCTGATACGTTCCAACACATCAAGGTGCTCCCACATCTCCTAATGTTCCGCACGGGCTGCAGAAACGAGCGCCGCTGTACTCAGAATCTCTATGATCGCACGCAGCGCGCAGCACACAACGAAATTACAGAAACCGCTACTTACTTGGCCAACAAGATAACTCCTCCTTTCGTCCAAAACAGGACGTAAGCCATCCCCGACTTGTGCCATCAGCGACTGTTCGCCGTCGGGGAGTCGGGGGGATCAGGGTCGGGGGGGCCAAGAGGGGGGCGATGACTAGGGGGGGATGGATACCATGGCGGGGGCCATGACATCTCCCCAGATCTAATGGCGCCTCTCCTCATCTCAAGACGCCCCCGCCTCCCCCCTGGGGCCGCGCACGTACCCCGGGCCATGATTTGCGCCTCCCCCCCCCCCCCTTGGACGCCCCCCTCGATGGGGGGCGCCCTGGCCGCTGGGGCCCGAGAGGCCCCGGAGGGCCCGGGCGGAGGATGAGGAGGAGGAGGAGGGAGGAGGAGGAGGAGGAGGAGGAGGAGGGTTGGCTTGTGCTATGTTCTCCTTGTCGTCGTCCTCCTCCTCCACCTCCTCCGCCTCCTCCTCCTCCTCTTCCTTTCCTCCTCCTCCTCCTCCCGGTTCTGAGATGCCCTGAACCGAGGAGGTCTGGCCCGTTTCGGCTGAGACACCCTCGCACCTCCAGGCGCAGAGATGGCATCCCTGACCTCCCCGGGGCCTGGGTGCGCAATTTCTGTTGCACAGGACGGCCCATTTCGGGGCGAGCTCGCGGAGTTCGCGTTGCCCAGGCCAGTTTCGCCAGAGACGTCCTCGCAATTTTGGGTTCAGATGTGCCCTGACACGAGGTGGTCCATCCCTCAAGTAGCGGCCCTCGCGCGAGACGGGCGACGGGGGGGGGCGTTCAAGATTTGTGCTATGTGCCCCGACCCGTTTTGCTTGAGACATCCTCGCAACTCTGAGCTCCGATAAGCCCTGATCTGAGGTGGTCCAGCCAGTTCCCTCTCCGTGTGAGCCGGGGGGAGCAGGATGCGGAAGAGCTGGAGGACCCAAAAACGATCGTCCCAAGGGGGAGGGGGGGGTGGCGGGGGGGGATGCCGGGGCCTGGGGGGGGGCGTTGGTAGGTTTCGGGCCAAACATTGTCGAGTGAGGGGCCCCAAGAAAGAAAGCCCCAAGGGTGCGAGGGGGGGGGGGATGCTTGGGCGTGGGGGAGGGGCCCTTGGGAGGTGTCGGGCTAAGAATTGCCGAGTTGGGGGTCCCCAGAAAGAACGTCACAAGGGTTTGGGGGAGTGGAATGCATGGGCGTTTGTGGGGTGGCGTTGGTGGGCTTCAGGCGAAAAACTCGAGTGGGCGGTCCCAAGAACGAACGTCCCAAGTGGGTGATGGGGGGGGGAGGAGGGTGCTGGAGCGTGGGGAGGGGGTGCGTTGGTAGGTGTCGGGCCAAACATTGTCGAGTGGGCTGTGTCAAGAACGAACGTCCCAAGGAGGCGTGGGGGGAAGTGGGGATGCTGGGGCGTGGGGCAGGGGGGCGTTGGTAGGTGTCGGGCGAAGAGTTTTCGAGTGGGGGTTCCCAAGATCGAACATCCCAAGGGGGGGGACCGGGGCGTGGGGGGGGCATTGGCAGGTTTCGGGTCAAGCATTGCCGAGCGGCGGGTCCCAAGAACGAGCGTCCCGAGGGGGTTGAGGGGGGGGGGGGCCCGGGCGTGGACGGGGTGGTTGGTAGGTGTCGGGCCAAGAACTCTTGAGTGGGGGGTCTCAAGAACGAGCGTCCCAAGGGGGCGAGGGGCGGGAGGTGGGATGCCGGTATGTGAAGGGGGGCGTCGGTAGGTTTCGAGCCAAGCATCATCGATTGGGCGGCCCCAAGATCGAGCATCCCAAGAGGGTGAGGGCGGGCCGATTCCAGGGCGTGGGGGAGGGCGTTGGTAGGTTTCGGGCCAAGAATGCTGGAATGGGTGATTCCAAGATGGATGGGGGTAGGGGGAGGGCGAAGCCATTTCCCAAAATGGAAGCAGATGGAAGAGTAAACTCGCTAAATCACTAACGCCCAGAGGGCCGGGCCACGTTTGAGGCTGAGGTTCACGGTATGTGTGGCTCGATATCAGCAAGTGTGTCAAGCCGTCTGCTGGTTCTAGGAGCTAGACGTCCCTCATTATTTTAGAGCATGACCCGTGCTAAGCATCCCGCCGGTATGCTATAAAAGTGTGGCTAAATCACACGCGAAAGTACCATTTCGCGGTTCCTTTTGGTGCGCTCAAAAGTGTTTGGTCGGCGCTTTTTGAAGGATAAGTTCCATGTTGGAAGAACGCCGCTGGCCCTGTATATGCTACACGGGCCTCTTTGCATCGTATAGGCTGGTTTGGGCCAAGTTTCACAAACTACAGGACTGCCCAGGGTATAGTAATAGGCCTCACTACCACCAGTTCCAGGTGTTTGAAGAAGTTGCTCAGGGAAAAGATCTTTCGGCAGCTTCAGAGGAACTGCGCGTTCCCAGGGACGCGGAAAAAGGATCTCCGACGTGCATCGATCCGAACATTCAATTTCAAGACATGGTTTCCCGTTCCGAAATGTTGCACCAGGTCACTGGCCTGCGGGGCGATATGGACGGGAACGAGGTCCAGAGAACCAGGCTATCAGTTTGAAGATTTCTTGTGTCCTTTCTATGGTGGTGTGGATAGCATACACCACAAACTGTGGACTTGCCCCTGCCAGGCCGTCAGTGAATGCAGATCTGACGTTGCGAAACTGGAGATCATCCAGCGCGTCGCCGCGTTCACGCTCGATGATCCCGATTGGGCCTTGTTCGTTCAGGGTTTGCTCCAGTACCTTGGCGTCACTTTGCCGCCACGGCTTACAGAAGGTTGGAGGGCTGTGATTTGGAAAATGATCCTGAGCTGGTGAGCGCGGCAATGTGCGGACGTGTTTTTGTTGACGGAGTTGGATTAACACGTCTGGTCCCAGAGTCGTGCCGTGCCGGTTGGGGTGGCCGAGTTTTTGATGATTGGTGCCAAGACGTGCGCTCTTGACGAGCCTGTTCCTGAGTGGCTCCCCCAAACCTTCCAGGCTGGTGAGTTGTGTGGGTTAAATAGGGGCTACCAGTGAGCTCCTGACGGGACCTTCTGTTGGAAACTCGGATTGTCGGAATGTGTTTAAAGCTTTTCACGCGCCTGTGGAACATCGGCGGTCGTACAGGAGTCACTGCGCTGGCACTTTCTCTTACTTTTTTCTAATTATTCGCGCACCGATATTAGAAAGGTCAACGTCAACGGTTCTAGTACAGGTCTTGACGAGGCTGTTCTTTGGTTCTTGAGAGTTGGTAGCGATGCGGCTGATTCAGCCGCCGTAATGGGGGCCACCAGCCACCCCCGCCCTTCAGGGCTAGGAAGCAAGGTGGTTTTGACCCGATTGCAGTGGCCCGTGCTGTCATCAAGCTGGCAAGCTCTGTGCTGCTTGAGTGGCCGCGCCTGACTCTAGATGGTATCAACAGACAACTTGGCAGTGGGAGGCAGCCGAACGCTGCCAACATGGAGCACGCGTGGTCGCGGTGCAAAACTTTTTGCCGCTGTCGTTTTTGCTTTGTCGTTCTAGAAGGACGGAAACGAAGCCCTCTTCTCCAGATTGTTCGGGGAGGTCTCTCGAACGAGACCAGTACATACAATAATACCCTGCAAGTTGTTAGCTTGCCAGATCGTATTTTGTTGTATGCATGATCGAATTGCTGCGCGTACACGACTGGAGAACAGGGTCGTAATCTCAACGGGGATTAGTATGGAAAGTTTGCTTCTAAATTTGCGTCTTGAGTATGGAAGTAAGTCTACTCGGGTAAACATCCAAAGCTCACATTTGTCTAGGTCGAGCCTTCCTCTCTAGCTGCAGATGCCAGCGAAGGCATTCAGGGCCGTCCTCCTCCCGTGTCGCCCCGCCTCTCTCTGAGCAGCGGGGCTCTGTTGGCCAGCTCAATGCAGTGCGTGTCCGCCTAAGGGCTGAGGAGGAGGAACCGGATTCAAGAATTCAGAATTCGGCCACCTTTGGAGTTTCAGTCGACTTTGACGAGCCCCACTCGAGGGTAAACCTGTCAGATCGTACTAACCACCACGGCGTCTGCCATGGACAGTCGGGGCCATCCGTGAAGCAGGTCGGCCTCTGCTCGAGCATGACCTGCTCTCTTCCTGTTGTCGTTTGAGGAGTCACGCCGGTGAACAACAAAACAAAGGGCCAAGCCATACATAGTAGATGTCCGACAGCGTTCCAAAAAACTCTCTCTTCGAGCATCGAGGTCCAAGCGCAAAACTCAGCATCCCCCGTTTCTTCCGCGCTGCCAGCACCTCGTCGCCTGCTGGCACTCGCGTCATTTCCAGATCTCGGGGTTTGCAGGCGCTCGCCGAGCGTATCCAGGTGCGAGTGGGGAGGTCACTCGGACTGCCAAAGTTATCGATCATGGGTCCCTTGTGCAACGCAGCCATCCGTGATGGGCTTGTTTTCCATTACCACTACCAGAAGTAGGAGGGGGGAGGGGGTCCTTCTCCTCTTCCTCCTCCTCCTGCTGCTCCTCCTCCTCCTCCTCCTCCTCCTCCTTCCTTCTCTCATCCTCTTCCTCCTCCTCCTCCTCCTCCTCCTCCTCCTCCTCCTCCTCCTCTCCACCTCCTTCCCTTCCCCTCTAACTTGCGGTAGCGATCGTAGAAAACAGGCCCATCAATCCAGCTCTCGTGCCGAAGACCGCCGGCAACCGTCGAAGACAGCGCTGGAGACCCGCGGAGGCCACCGAAGAATGCCAGAAAAGACCGCCAGAAGGCCGCCGAAAACCGCCCATGGCCGACGGGCTATGTCGAAAAGCCCTCGAGGGAAAAGCCCCGCCCCCCCGTCGCGCCCCTCGCTGCAGGCGTTGGCGCGGCCGGACCGCCGCCACCACGCCGAAAGCTTGCACGACGACTCCTACAAGCGACCGCCCGTCCGCCAGCCCCTCCGCGGGGGGGGGAAGTGGCGCCAGAGCGCCGCGAGAGGATGTCAGGGGCAACGTCAGGGGGGACAGGCTTCGGGGGCAACGCCACGATCCCCGATCGCCCATTCATCACCGATGGGGGGTCGAAGGCCCGCGCCGGCCAGGCACGCTCGATTTGCGCTACTGGGGCCTGCGACGTACGAGGTACCGCCGATTCCAGCTCGATGATGTCCACCACCCCAAGGCGTCCTGACGTTACCGCTCAGGGCGGGGGGGGGTGCCGGGGTACAGCGAGAGGATGGAGGACGAGGATCGAGGATCAAGGAGCGCAAGGTCGAATGGGTCATCGCCGTGCTGAATGTTCTCGGGGTTCTCCGGAGGTTCTCGTCACCACGGCTGGAGCGCAGCTCGGGACAGTGCTTTTTCCCCCCCCCCGGACAGAACACCTGGGCGACACAACCCGAGGGGAGGTGCCCAAGGTGCCTGCATCAATTCACATGCAGTCGGACCTCGCAACACGAACGGCGGCACGGACCCGCCCCAGGCGTTATCCGCGCCGCCGTTGCGAGGTGCCTCGAGATGCCAGCCCGAGACACGGCCACCGGCACCACCCCCACTTGGCCGCCGGCCTCAAGCAGCGGACCCCCCGCTGCCCAAGGACGTAAGTTCCCGCGCCCCCCACGTCGGAGGACCCCTTCGAGTAACCCCATCGGGCCTCTCAGGGGTAGTACGGCGGGCCCGCACCTACTGTGGCTGGCCAACCACAGGGCAAGAGTCTCTCCCACAGCCCCGTCGAGGTGTGGTGACGATCGGGCTGCCAACCCGCCTGTTTTCCTGGGACGCCACGAGGGCACCCAGCGGCACAGGTGCCAGCTCGGGACAGTGCCCAGCATGGGCCCAGGAGGTGCCGGGGCGGCCCAAGCCCCAGCGTGTCCTGACCAGGCAAGCGTGTATGGCCTCCTCCTCCTCCTCCTCCTCCTCCTCCTCCTCCTCCTCCTCCTCCTCCTCTTCCTCCTCCCTCCTCCCTCCCCCTCCTCCTCCTTCCTCCCTCCTCCCTCCTCCCTCCTCCCTCCTCCTCCTCCTCCTCCTCCTCCTCCTCCTCCTCCTCCTCCTCCTCCTCCTCCTACTACTCCTACTCCTACTCCGACCCCATCCAGGAGAGGCCCAGAGGAGGGCACGCCGGGGGAGGACCGCCGCCGCCTCGACGACCGAGCCGCGCGAACACGGACAGACCGCCGTCCTGCGCGGTCGCCGAGGCGGCCGGGAGCGGCGCCGAGGGCGCGAGCGGCGCTCGGGCGGGGCGCTGCCCTTCTCGAGGAGCGGCCTGGCCCGGCAGGGCGCAGCGCAGCGCCGCGCCGCCGCAGCGCCAGGGGCCCCGCGGCGGCGCGCCGGGTCCCACCACAGGCGCCTCGACTGCGGGTGCGTGTGGGAGGCCTGGGTGTCGGCAGCGGCACCAGCATCGGCGGCTGCCTCCGCCCGAGCCCGCCCTGGAGCTTGACGGGCCCGTCTCCGGCGGAGGTTTGCAGGGGGAGCTCGCGTCAAAACTCAGACCGGGTCTCGCCACTGTCTTGACGTTCCTCGCCAGGCCAACCCGAGTCCCCCGAACCCGAGGCTTACGTCTCCCCGAGCCGAGGGAAGATGATCCCGATTTCAGGGGTGGTGGGAAGATTCGGGCTTTTCAGGCGGTCGAGAGGTTATCACCAGTACAAACATCTGAGAGCATCGTCGCCTGGTGGAGACGGCCATCTGTGTTGGGGCTGCTGCTGGTTTGCATTGCTTCCAAAGTGACCTTGAAAAGGGAAGTTCGGGCGCCAGCATTCTCAGGCCGAATATTGCTCAGAGAGTATGACCAGCTCTGGGGAGCTCTGTTTGTGCAACATATGTTGGTCGTGCTGGGTGCTTCATAGATTAGCAGGAAGTTTCAGAGACTGTCGGACGCGAAAGTTTGGCGCGCCCCTTTTCAGGTATTGGTTGTTCTGACATTTCCAGGTGGTATGCTCTATCTCACGTTCGCTCCTGCGTCTGCCATGGCGACATCCTCAGGGCTCTCTCAGTTACCTCCCTGGGCTCTTTGGGTCCGCCTCAGATTTCCTTGAGCGATGCGTGGTTGACGTGAGTTTCTCGACTGCGCGAGCGCGCGCGAGCGTGGTCCCATTTTCGATGCACTACAGTTTACACCGAAGCTCCCCAGACACCCGTCGATGTTTGTGTTCGATCCGCACCCACATATTTCTCGACCAGGCCTCCTGAGAGGCTGGGGTCGACGAAAACCCGCTGGGCTGAACAACTATCCCTGGGATTTTAGGCCTCCCACATGAGGTCCGCGCCCCCTCTTTCCCTGTTTCGGCCCATGGCACAAAAAGAGTGTTGCTCACGCGCCTTCTGGACACGGCTTCTTCTTCTTCTTCTTCTTCTACTTCTTCTTCTTATTATTATTCTTATTCTTTGATGGAGTCCGAGTGGATGGGGTCGGAGGATCGCACCGCATCGCCGATGCATCGGCGATGAGGCTCGATATGGGGCCCGATTTTCTCCACGCCGACGGCGCCGATGCTTCGCGGACGCCGCCGATACATCGACGATGATGCGCGATCCTCCCACCCCATCTGTTCTGATCCCATCTGGACTGAAGTCGGGCATGTGCCTCTACAGGAGGAATGTTCAAATATTTTGACATTGTCTAGGGGCGGTTTATGTAGTAGTACTTAATTGACTATATGCAATATGTTTGACCATCTTTTTATTTTACCTCCAGAATCCGCCTGTAGGAGGACATGCCCGACCTGAAGCTGGTCCCCTCGATCCTCGAGCTTGGGCCCGGAGGGCCAGCGCCGACGCACGGGCCCATCCCCGCGGAACGCCCGGACTAGAGCCCATTTGGGGCGCAATGCCGGCTGCGGCGACGACCCCACCCCGCCGGAGGCCCGGAACGGACCTAATCAGTCGATCCGTCGTTGGGGCCTCCTCGTCTTCCTCCTCCTCCTCCTCCTCCTCCTCCTCCTCCTCCTCCTCCCTCCTCCTCCTCCTCCTCGGCCTCCTCCTCCCTCCTCCTCCTCCTCCTCCTCCTCCTCCTCCTCCTCCTCCTCCTCCTCCTCCTCCTCCTCCCCTCCTCTTCCTTCTCCTCTCCTCCTCCTCTCTCCTCCTCCTCCTCCTCCTCCTCCTCCTCCTCCTCCTCCTCCTCCTCCTCCCCCTCCTTCCCCTCCCCCTCTTCCTCCTCCTCCTCCTCGGTTCGCCTGCGGCCCCGGGGGAAACCGTGCAGGGGGGGGGGCAGCATGCGTCCACGGCCGCGGCGTGCCGAGGCCCCCCCGAAGGCGGATCCCACGGGCGGCATTTCACGGAGAGGTTCCCGCTCCGCGCGTTCTCCCCCCCCCCCCCCCCGGAAGGAGAAGGTAATTAGGAGGTGGAGGAGGAGATGGGCGGGGATGGGGACGAGGAGAAGGAGGAGGAGAAGGAGGAGGAGGAGGAGCAGGAGGAGGAGGAGCAGGAGGAGGAGCGGAGGGGAGGAGGGGGAGCATGGGGAACGAGGAAGGGGGATGGAGGGGGAGGGGCAGGGGCTCCCCCCGACTCCCGCCGCCCCCGCCCGCCGCCCCCTTGCCCCTCTCCGGCGCCCGCCGGCCCGCGATCGGCCAGGCGAGCGGTGAGGCGAGCGCAGGCCAAGGCCCAGCTGGTGGCGTCGGCTCTGGAGCAGCAGCTCCACGAGGCGCGCCGCCCCGCCCACCCCCTCTCGGGGGCAGACGAGGGGGGGGGGGGGCGGGGGCGGGACACGCAGTGTCGTTGGTTCCCAGTGTAGTCCACCCGCCCGGTAAGGAGGGGCAGTCTCCCCCAGGGTATATACCCTTGCACCCTTGCCTCCTCGGTCCGTCCTTGGCCGCTTTCACTGGCCGCGCCCCGCCCGAGAAGCTTCGAAGTGGGCGTCCAAGGCCCTTGCATCCTTGTCGCGCATCCTTAGGATGCGGGTTGACTGTAGCTTTCCAGCCCTTGCTTTCTCTCGGCGGCTTCCTCACGGTCTTCAGTTCTTGTCCGCCCGTAAGCAGTCACATATATTTACCAGAGAGCAGTGGGGGGATCAACTGCAGACAGGGCGTTGGCGATCAATCTTTCGAGCGGATCCAATAGCGCGTGCGTCCAGCAAGATTGGTAGACACACCAGATCTAGGAGAGATGCTCCCCTTGGGTCGCGGAGAAGCTACGAAGGACGAGGCCGCTTGCGCCCTGAAGAGCTTGAAGGCTGAGAAAGCTTGCAGACACCGCGGAGGCTTTCCAGTGGCTCGCAGATGTGTGCAACCAGTGCTGGGTGCAGGAGAGTGTCCTGGACGACTGGCACACGGCCAAAGTGGTGAGTCTGCACAAGAAAGGGGACGTTCCGAACTGAATTGCCGCAAGTTCTGGCCTATCAGCTTCGTGCGCGTCACAGACAAAGTGTTCGCTCCAATCGTATTGAGAAGGCTACAGCAAGCAGGGGCCGAAATATATTTGACTCGTACGCAGATTCGTTTCCGAAGAGGCCAGTGCTCAAGCGACGCAACCTCCATGGTCTGGCCACACAGTGAACTTGCGCGTGCGCACAAACATGGGAAGGTGCGCGTGATCGTTCTGGACTGGGGCGAAAGCTTTCGATTCCGTCGACGTCGACGCTTTCATGGCCGCGCTCCGACGTTTTGGGCTGCCTCCGAAGCCTGTTCTATTTGTTCGCAGTTTTTGCAATGTCCGCCGGTTCAGCGTGCTGGACGCCAGCCAGACCTTCAGTCAGGGGCACCAAGCGTCCGGCATCTCACCAGGGTGCCCGCTGCCGCCGTATCTCGCCTGCGCTGCCCCTGACGGTGGCAATTCACGACTCCACGGGAACTGTCACCGAGTGTGCGACGCGAGTTCGAGGGTGGAGCTTTGCACGTCCATCTCTACACGGATGACAGGCTGATCACCGGAGTGCAGATTGGAACACGTGCGGGGACTGCCCGACTCAATTGCGCGCAAAGGTGCTCGCTACAGAAGTTGCGTTGGTCCGAAGTTCAGATCGCTGGCGCTGGGGCGGGGATAGTACCTGCAGACGCGCAGACGCCAGGCGGCTAGCGTACTCCAACGGCCGACCTCTCGAATCACTCGGGCGCAGGCATCCGGACCCACGGGCGGATCAGGCATGAACTCGCCAGGAAATTCGGTCACGCATGGGGCGATTTCACTGCGTTGTCGATGTTCCGAGGGAGAAAACGACAGTGCCAGCAGCTCGTCAGCTTCAAGCGGAGCATATTGGCATCATCCGCTGGCTACTCTACGGGCTCAAGTCGGCCTGGCTCAGCGTCGCAGAGACGAGGCGCTTGAATGGATTTGACTGCCCTTTCTTGCGGGGTATTCTCGGTATCCACCCGTGCTCTATTTCGCTGGTGTCGAACGAGACCGCATTGCGGAGGGCATCGCGCAACCCATTCCACCAGCCGTTCCTTGAATACCTTCTGCTGTGCGGAAGAGTCGCAAGGGACCCATGAAGCCCGTTGCTTTCATCCAAGTTTTCTTATTCATTGTGATCGTTTTCTTATTCACTGTTTTGCCGAACGGCGCGGGCCCTCGAACCCACCCCCTCCCAATGGAGTAGATCTTGGTTGTTTTTGGCGCCTTTTTCGAACGGGTGGAGTCTCCGCCAGAGGCCGCCCTGTTGGAGACAGTCGCCCCCCCCTTCCGCCCAATGTCAGAACGCCGAATAAGAAAACGCTCACCAGTGCACAGGTCTATTCGTGTGGTGGGAAGGTTGCCAGATGAATGGGTGACCATGTCGCAACAAGAAACAGACCGCATGCAGGAGAAAAACAGAGTGCAAAGTACATTGGTCCGCATATTGTTCTAAGGTACACAGTGCATGCGTCCAGGCTCCATGGCAAAATAGTAAATTGTATTGGTAGTAGTCGTTGTAGTAGTCGTGGTAACAGTAATCGTACACCGAGTCGTAGTAACAGTAGTAGTAGTAGTAGTAGTAGTAGGAGTAGTAGTAGTAGTAGTAGTAGTAGTAGTAGTAGTGGTAGTAGTAGTAGTAGTAGTAGTAGTCGTAGTAGTAGTAGTAGTAGTAGTAGTAGTAGTAGTAGTAGTAGTAGTAATCGTAGTCGTAGTCGTAGTGGTTGTAATAGTAGTCGACGTCTAGTGGTATTATGTAGTAGTAGTAGTAGTAGTAGTAGTAGTAGTAGTAGTAGTAGTAGTAGTAGTAGTAGTAGTAGTAGTAGTAGTAGTAGTAGTAGTAGTAGTAGTAGTAGTAGTAGTAGTAGTAGTAGTAGTAGTAGAAGTAAGGCGTGCGGTCTGCGCAAGGATTCTTTTAGGATTCGGTGGGATTCCTTAGGATTCCTTCGGGTGCCTTCGGTTTCGCTAGCATTCTTGAGGATTCCCTTCGGATTCGCTATTCCTTCAGGATTCTCTTAGGATCCCCTCTGGATTCCGAGGCGCTCATACACTTCAGGGGTTCCTGAGGCGCGCAATCGCGAACCCGGACGGGAACGGCGTGGGGCGGCGGGAGGCGTGGGACCCGGACGGGCACGGCGTGGGGCGTGGGGCCCGGACGGGCACGGCGTGGGGCGTGGGACCCGGACGGGCACGGCGTACGGCGTGGGACCCAGACGGGCACGGCGTACGGCGTGGGACCCGGACAGGCACGGCGTTGGGGCCCGGACGGGCACGGCGTTCCGCAGTAGTAGTAGTAGTAGTAGTAGTAGTAGTAGTAGTAGTAGTAGTAGTAGTAGTAGTAGTAGTAGTAGTAGTAGTAGTACGTAGTAGTAGTGGTAGTAGTAAGTCGTAGTAGTAGTAGTAGTAGTAGTAGTAGTAGTAGTAGTAGTAGTAGTAGTAGTAGTAGTAGCAGTAGTCGTAGTATTCGTAGTAGTCGTAGTAGTCGTAGTAGTAGTAGTAGTAGTAGTAGTAGTAGTAGTAGTAGTAGTAGTAGTAGTAGTAGTAGTAGTCGTAGTAGTAGTAGTAGTAGTAGTAGTAGTAGTAGTAGTAGTAGTAGTAGTAGTAGTAGTAGTAGTAGTAGTAGTATGTAGTAGTAGTAGTAGTAGTAGTAGTAGTAGTAGTAGTAGTAGTAGTAGTAGTAGTAGTAGTAGTAGTAGTAGTAGTAGTAGTAGTAGTCGTAGTCGTAGTCGTAGTCGTAGTCGTAGTCGTAGTCGTAGTCGTAGTCGTAGTCGTAGTCGTAGTCGTAGTCCTAGTCGTAGTCGTAGTCGTAGTCGTAGTCGTAGTCGTAGTCGTAGTAGTAGTAGTAGTAGTAGTAGTAGTAGTAGTAGTAGTAGTAGTAGTAGTAGTAGTAGTAGTAGTAGTAGTAGTAGTAGTAGCAGTTGTAGTCGTAGTCGTAGTCGTAGTCGTAGTAGTAGTAGTAGTAGTAGTAGTAGTAGTAGTAGTAGTAGTAGTAGTAGTAGTAGTAGTTGTCGTAGTAGTCGTAGTCGTAGTCGTAGACGTAGTAGTTGTAGTAATGCTGGTAGTAGTAGTAGTAGTAGTAGTAGTAGTAGTAGGTGGTGGTGGTGGTGGTAGTAGTAGTAGTAGTAGTAGTAGTAGTAGTAGTAGTAGTAGTAGTAGTAGTAGTAGTAGTAGTAGTAGTAGTAGTAGTAGTAGTAGTAGTAGTAGTAGTAGTAGTAGTAGTAGTAGTAGTAGTAGTAGTAGTAGTAGTAGTATAGTAGTAGTAGTAGTAGTAGTAGTAGTAGTAGTAGTACTATTCGTAGTAGTAGGAGAAGATGGAGGAGTTGGACGCATGAGGTCCGAGGTATGCTGCGAAAGGCACCCTTCAGGACGATGTCTGACAGTCGGACCGAGGTATCAGACCGAGTTCTGCTCGGGGAGGGTACCCGCGTGTTCTTCGTGTCTGTTTGATGTTCTTGTGCATCCTGGGGAGGGTGCCCTTGGGTGTTCTGTTCGTTTTGGCCGGCGGAGGGCCTCATGTTCTTGAGGGTTCTTCTTTTGCCGTAGGTCCGACTGCATTTTGTCCCCCTTCCCTGGGCGCCTCCAGGGGCCTTCCGCGGGGGACCCGAGAGGGCTTCGGGAGGCTTCCAGGTGGCCGGGGCCTCTCGACCGCGCCGCCCAGCCCCGCGGGGACCGCAGGCGCCCTCGACCGTCCGCGACGGGCGACAGGGCGACCCCGAGGTCTTCAAGCGGCTGCACGGCGACCACTCGAAACGGAAGGAGAAGCTGCAGGAAGCCCTGGCCCTCAGTCTCTGGGGTCGCATCGGCGTCACCCCAAGATATTTAACTATACTATATGTGCGTCGCCCCCCCCCCAGGGGCGACGCGCGCACCGAGAACTCTGGCAGCATATTCGTCGTAACGGGCGCTTTCTGGCCACGCCGCTCGGGAAACGATCTACTACAAGATGGGTATGCTATATGCTCGTGTCGGACGCGCGCCTCCAAGGAGGACATGCAGTATTGGTGTGTCTCTGTGCGTCCCATCGCCGGTCCGTGGCGGGGGCCCATCCGGAACGCCCGCCGGGGGCGGGATCGCTCTTCGGGGCCCCTCCTCCTCCTCTTCCTCCTCCTCCCCCTCCTCCTCCTCCTCCTCCCCCTCCTCCTCCTCCTCCTCCTCCTCCTCCCCCTCCTCCCCCTCCTCCCCCTCCTCCTCCTCTTCCTCCCCCTCCTCCCCCTCCTCCCCCTCCTCCCCCTCCTCCTCCTCCTCCATCTCCTCGCAGCAGAGCAGGGGGGCGTCTGGTGTCGCCATTGCGCGGGAGGGGGGGGGGCCTCTGGACCTCTTCTTGGCGCGTCGGTCTGCAGCAGCGCGTCCGACTGGGGAGAGACCCCAGCTGCTCGAAGCGGGCGCCAAGAACAGCCAGGGTCCACTCTGCGGGGGGGGGGGGGTGCGAGGGCCCGTGCCGATCGGCAAGACAAGGACTACGGAAACGATCATCAGATCGCGACGGCCTCCGGGGGCCACCTTCCCGGCCCCCCGCGGCCGGTGAGAGCGAAGCCGGGGCGGAGGGCCGGGCCGGGGGAGAGCGGTCGAGATGCTCGAGGGGGCCCGCGCCGCCGAGCAGGGTGCGGTGTGGGAGCAGATGGCCTCCATCTCGCACTGTCCCCTCCCTCCCCGCCCCCTCTCTCGGTAATTACCTCTATCTCTCAAAATGCCTCTGCTTTCTCTCTCTCTCTCTTTTGTCCCGTGCTTCCTCCGAGTATTGCGTGCTTCGTGTGTGTGTGTGTGTGCGTGTGTGTGGTCGGTTGTGTGTGTGTGCGTGTGTGTTCGCTTCATTTGTATTCGTGTGTGTGTTTGTTGTCTGGCTGTCTGTGTTGGTATGGCTATCGTTTCTCTTCTCTCCGTCCGTACTCCTTCCAATCATTGCGTGTTAGTGCGTTATGGTTTTGTTTCGTGTTGTCGGTATGTGTGTGGGTGTTTGCTTCTGCTTTGCCTGTGGCTGTACAATTTACTCATACGCAGTATGCTGATGTCGCACTTGTCCCAAACATTTTGTATGTTTGTTTGTTTGTGTGTGTGTGTGTTTGCGTGTGTGTGTGTGTGTGTGTTATTTTTCTGTCTGTCTGTCTGTCTGTCTCTCTCTCTCTCTCTTTCTCTCCTTCTCCTGCCAGCGTCTTCCCACCGCTACTTGTGCCAGACACGGAGGCCGAGCCAGGCTCATGATGTGCCCACCACCAAGTTTTATAGCTCGCAACTCTTAACATATCCAGGGGTAATTTCGTACTGAGGCTTCTTCACGCTGGTCACATTCTTGGCTGCCCCAGGTTCCTCCAGACTCTGTTGTTTGTTTCAGATTCCTCCATGCAATTTCAGGCCTTACGCCGTGTCTGCTAGGATTCGGACAGGAACTTGCCGATGATACCTCTGCGTGTCTCCCCCTTTCTCTCCGCGTCGTATTCGTGTCCATGTCCCACCCTCTCTTGATCCTGCTGCTGCTCCTCCGTCTGCAATGTCCTCTCTCCATCCCCCTATCAACCCCTCCCCTCCTCAACCTCCACATCTCCAAATCCACCGTCTCTTCCACCTCATCAGTCCCCGTCCACCCCTTCCACCTTCGCCTCCCTTCTGTTTACGCTTCCGCGTCTTCCTCATCCTTTTCCGTTTAGTGTTGCGGAGTATTGGAAGGCAGCGGAGGGCCAGGGGGGTTCGGCAGGAGGGGGAGGACCGTGGTGAGTAGGAGGAGCAGGTGGATGAAGAGCTAGAGGAGGAGGAGGAGGAGGAGGAGTAGGAGGAGGAGGAGTAGGAGGAGGAGGCAGCCTCAAGCTCCGGCAGTCTTGGGTGGATGCCAGGTTAGAGTTGTCCACCAGGACGGGGCTAGGACGAGGATAAATTCGTTCCAGAGCGCTCTTGAACGCTCTCAGAGCGTCCCCGAACGCTCCGAGAAGGCCGCGGCGCCCGAGACAACCTCAAGAGACGCGAGATATCAGAGATTCTCGGCTTATCCTTACCCAACAAGCACATGCCGAACGAACAACACACACCCATACCCACAGGGGGGACGGACGGGTCTGCGGGCGCGTGTCGTCGGATGGGGCTCTCCGCTCGAACGGGAGCCTCCCCCCGGGGTCCGACGATCCGCACCCATACCCATAACCAGTCCTCCTTTTTCCGATCCCCCTATGGGTATGGGTGTGTGTGTGTGTGTTGAACCTTCGATAGGGGGGTATCGGCATAGTGGGGGAAACGTTGATCCCTGACCGCCCAATGATCGCCGATAAAGGGCCCGAAAGCCCCAGCCTGCCCATGAACGTGCGGATTTACTGTCAGGCGCCTATCGCCGATCCATCGGCGATGTACCGCCGATTGCACGTCGATGTGCCCCCCCCCCCCCCTGTGCCGGTCTCCCCTTAAGGAGGAGGAGGAGGAAGAGGAGGAGGAGGAGGAGGAGGAGAGGAGGAGGAGGAGGAGGAGGAGGAGGAGGAGGGGAGGGAGGAGGAGGAGCAGAAGGAAAAGAGAAGGAGGAGGAGGAGGAGGAGATGGAGGAGGAGAAGGAGGAGGAGGAGGAGGAGGAAAGGAGGAGGAGGAGGAGGAGGAGGAGGAGGAGATGGAGGAGGAGATGGAGGAGGAGATGGAGGAGGAGGAGGAGGAGGAGGAGGAGGAGGAGGATGAGGAGGCCCCCAAAGACAGCAAGACTGGCGCCCTCGTCCTCGTCGCCGCCCCGCGGGACCCTCGCGCACGGGATCCTGCATAGCTCGGCCCGCGGGCCCGCGCACTCGTCGCCCGGGCGCGCGCGCGCGAACGCGCGCGCATATACGCGCGCACGCGCGCGCACGAGCGCGCACGAACCCCGAGATCCTGGCGGCGCAACTTTTCCGAGCTCGGCGGCCTCGCCCCATCTCGGGCCCCCGGACCCTGGCAGATGGATCCCGCTCGAAGAGTGACGCAGGAGGAGGGGGTCGGGGGGTCCGGTCGTGATTGTTTGCGATGTTGCAACTCTTCCGCAAGGTCGGCTCTCAGGGAACGCGCACGAACGCGCACACGCGCACGCCCACGCACGCGCACGAACGCGCACGCGCACGCGCACTGCCCCCGTTTGAGGGCGAGGCGTGACCACAACGCCAGGACACCCACCTCTACCTTGATATTTTCCGACGGAAGGCTTTTACTAGTGGTCGGCCTCTGGGGGCCCCGATCGGGCCCTTGGACCGGCAGAAAACAGCTATAGGATGAAAAGCCAGTCCCATGGGACGGGTCCAGACCTCTGGGGAGCCACGTTGTGGAAAAAAACGCGGCGTCGGATGCCTCATTGTGGGGTCACTCCAGACAAAACCTCCCGATGCTTCTAGTGACCCCCCCCCCGAAAGGGTTTTTTTTGTTGGGCGGGGCGGGTTGGGATCGCCAGGCTGGCGCCTCCGTCGTCGCCGTTGCCGTCGTCGTCGTGGGTCGCCGTCGAATCCCACGTGTTCAGTCACACAGCCATCCTGCTCAAGAGGCTTACGCCATTGCACCGATTTCCAGAAGATACGGAGAACGACCGGACAAAGAAGGAGAAGGAGGACGAGGACGAGGACGAGGACGACGACGACGACGACGACGACGACGACGACGACGACGACGACGACGACGGGGCATGCTGAAAGTTACTCGCAGTTTGTTGCGAATCTCCATGAGAGGCCTCTGGGAGACCTCGTGGCGGGTCACGTGGGTTCCGTCTGAAGAGGGCTCAACAGGTTGCCCCCAAGAGACTACCCCCAAGAGGCCACCCTCGAGAGAGCGCAACAGGGTGCTTCTCAGGGGCACGGTGGGGACATTAGGGGCAATTCCGTGAAAACCTCACGGGACTCCTTCGGATTTCTCTTCTTCGGCCTTTCCTGAGCTCTTTGGGGGCCGTGTTGACTACGTACCTTGTTGGCCATCTTGGAGGTCTGTTGGGCCGACTTGGTGCCCTTTTCGGGGCCTTGATGGGATTCGCAAAGTGTGCGTGTGTCCGAAAATCCCCATCCTCGAGGATATTCTCGGGGGGTCCAGAAACATAACCTTTGACCAGACAGCTCTCCCATGGTAGTCATGCCCGCGGTCATGCATCATCCCTCTTCGTGCTAAGCGGTGCAATGGTGCAGTTGGGTCAGCCTCTCCATTCCGCAACATGGGGTGATGGTGTAGTGGCTTGAATTGCACAAGTGTTCAAAGTTGCGTGATATTGTGAGTTTCTACCATTCTAGATAATTGCTGTAACGGTGTGTGTGTGTGTGTGTCCAAATACCATTTTCAACAAGTTGCGACGATGCAGCGGCACACCATTCAACATAATGGCGTAATGGTGTAATGGTGCATGCCCGCACCACTTCTTTCAAAGGTGTGACGATGGAAAGGTGCAGGCGCACACCCTTTCTACACAATGTTGTAATGGTGCAATCGTGCAGATGTCGGCTATCAGAGCCACGGAGCCCTCACGCTGGGACCTCTGGGTCTGCGGAGTGGGAGGAGGAGGGCCGCTCGAAAGAGTGTCGGGACTCGGCGCGGCACTCGGCCGGGGGCCCCGCGCTGTCCGCTCCCAGGGGGAGGAGCAGCAACGTAGGGCCTGCACGAACGAATTTGGCACGGAAAGAATGGGTACAATGCCCAACAGCGGATCCTGTTCATTTTGAACAGGACTCGCTGTCCGCGCCGACGCGGACTGTGTCCATTCGAGACAGAAGGCCGCCTGCCCAACAGCGGCCGCTGTTGGTTTGGGACAACATTAGTTGTTGGGCATTGTACCCATTCTTTCCGTACCCATTGCGGGCGTCCAAAGAGGGGGGAGATGGGCAGGAGGGGAGGGGTTGGGAGGGATGGACGTGCAGCAGCGGCAGACGGAGTGGGAGCAGAAGGAGGAGGATGAGGCTTCAGCACGGTGGCGAGCACAATGCCAGCTCGGCGGGGTCTGCCGCATCTCCTCGGGGTCCGTCGGAGCCCAGCTCCGGAGCCTCCCCGGGAGAGCCGCTCGGTCGTGCCGGGAGGACGCGCGGTACCTCGTCGCCAAGGACAGCCTCGAGGTCTGGGCGACGACGACCTCGCGGAAGGTGCCCTTGTGCTGAGGAAGTCGATCCATGGAGAGGAAGCATGCTGCCAAATGATTTCCGTGTGTCTAAAATATGTGACACATATGTGTTAAATGTGTTACAAACATGTTTGAAACAAGTTTAGAACACGTGGTTCACGTTTGAATCATATTCTTAATTCAATGCTCGGATTGTTAGAGTGTCCATTGTCATGGCATCCACAGCCCTTGTGCTAGCAAAGCTGGATACGCATGATGTGTCCAGCTTGGCCGAGTGGTGGGTACAGTCAAGATGCTGAAGTAAGGGCCACTTTGGGCTCAGGAGGTGCCCTGGTTTTCGTACCGATCCTTAGACGTTGGCCGGGGAACATGTTCATGGCCGATGCGCGCCCTGGCCAGAGCAGCCCCTTCGTTCCTGTATTCGGCTTCCTCATGGTAGCACGATGACTGTACGCATGACGAGGCCGGCCTGGTCGAGCAGTGTCGTCGACGTCGGCGTCGTGGCCATTCTTGTCGTCCGCGTCCTCTTCGTCGTTCTCATCCTCGTCGTTCTCGTTGTCGTCGTCGCCCTCGTCCTCTTCCTCGCCCTCGTCTTCGGCCCTCTCGAGGGATGCGTACACGTGTGACCGCTTGTCTTTCCAGCGCCCAGCCTCACACGGCCGGGTGCGCTGGCCCACCCCGCGTGTGCCGAACGCCTGACCTCCGCGTGTTCCTCGCGCGAATCGGGCCGCAGGTGTCCTCCCAGCCCCCAATGACAATCTTTGCGGATGAGGCACAACAGCCGCAGCATGATTCTGCGAGGCGTGAGCTTGCCCAAGGCAGTGATTGCGCCGTTGGGTGTCAAAGCAGCGGCGTTCTATCCAGGGGTGCTCTGATGTGCCGACGATGCTGGTCTTTGTCGCTGGCATCCACGAGCAGCTCGGCCGGCTCTTCTGTCCTGCTGTGCCCGCGATGTCTGTCAGCACTTGTTGCCACTAGCCACGACTAGTCCTGATCATTCTAACCACCACGGCGACTGCGGCGGCGATGACTACGCCGAAAACAGAGACGAGGAAGAGGACGAGGGCGACGGCGACAACGGGAACGACGGTGGTGAGGACGTCGACGACACCGACGTCGATACCTGCGACGATGATCGCGGCGACGAGACGATGAGCAAAAGGAGGATGAGACGGGGAGGTCGATGATGGGAAGGACGAGGATGAGGACTGAGCTACAGGAAGAGGAGGAGGAAGAGGAGGAGGAGGATGATAATTCCGCCGACTGCGACGACGACGACGACCATCACCACGACGACGGCCGCCGAAAAGTAGGACGAGGGCGAGGCCAACAACGACGGCGGGGGCGACCACGACGAGGAGGACGAGGCCGCACGACGCACGGCGCTGACGGGCGCGGCGAGGACGAGGACGACGACTACGGCGACCTTGGCGGCGGCGGCCACGGCGAGGGCGTCAGCAGTGCGCGTGCGCGCGCGAGCGAGGTGCTCCGCATCGTCGTCAGGGGGGACGTGGTGCAGGCCCGGCGCAGCCCTCTGCGGCGGCGGGGCCGGGCCCCGCCGGGTGCCGCGTCGGGGGAGCGAGGAGGACGGCTGGTGCCAGCGTGGGCTCCAGAAGGGTGGGTTCGTTCTTGCCTTCTCAGCGCGCACGCTGTGGTGCCAGCTGCGTGGTGCAACCCACGCGGTGCAGTCTGTGTGGTGCGTTACGAACTACACGTGTCTCTCTCCCTCTCTCTCTATATATATACATACACACGTGTGGGCTGCAGCGCGTGCTTGCGAAAGCCGTGCGATGTAAGCTGTGGGATGCAGTCTGTGGGGTGCAGTTCACGTGTCAATCTGCAAGTCGTGAAATCCAATGCTCGTGCCACCATCCTACGTACCCACCCACCCGCAGCTTGTTGGTACAAGCCAACTGACTACGACGATGATAGTTGTGATTAACGGTGGCAACGGCGGTGCTGGTGTTGATGTTGATGATGATGATGATGATGATGATGATGATGATGATGATGGTGATGATGATGATGGTGATGACGATGATGCTGATGGTGATGACGATGATGATGATGATGATGTTGATGACGGTGGTGCTGGTGAGGATGATGAGGAAGTGCGAGCGCGCGCAGGAATTTGACGAGGGCGGTGGCATCGACGATGCCGATGATGACGGTGGTGGTAATGATGACGGCGGCTACGCTGATGGTGATGGTGATGTTGTTCATGATGCAATTGGTGACGATGATGAAGGTGACGCTGGTAATGATGGCGCTGGCGGTTATGATAACGATTGTGCTGATGAGGGTGATGAACAAAGGCGCGCTCGCAGAAATCCGGAGCCTATAATATACATTTCTATTGAAGCAGACATGTGGTGCTCGTACGTGCTTGACAGTGTCTGCGCTGAAATGCTCAACACACCAATTGTTTTGGAAGGATTTTGACGTGTGCTCGCAGAAGCGTGCGTGTGGCCCGCATTGTACTATTGGATATAGAGTTGGCAGGCGCACGATGGTTATCCTTACTTGTGGTTACTATTAATATAATGATCCTTACTTGTGTTATGCTTATCCTCACTTCTCCTATTATTTTCCTTACTTGTCCTATGTTATTCCTTACTTTTTCTGTGGTTCCCCTTATTGTTCCTATGGTTTGTTACTTCAAGGTTTCCGACATGCTCGCGCGTGTTGCCCGCATTGTCTCATCTCGCCAGGTCACATTACAAGTTGCTTTCTTGCATCAGCGAGTGAACGCGCGCGGGCAACAATATGGTATAACTCTTTGCTGAAGAGCTCAAGGGTTCCGGTAGCATTTGAATCGCTGTGGCCTGAATTTGTAACACAAAACAGAGGCAAGTCGTTGTTGCATTGGTTTGGCAGTCCAGTGCGGGAAAGTTGGAAACACCCACCAGCCGTCGCGATGTTTCCGAGACGTCTAGAGGTGTGGGTCCGAGGGTTAACAAAAACGACCTGCGGACCTGTCCCAGAGTGCGCCCTGGCCAGAATATGTTGGAGAGTACAGTCGTGGCGACGAGAGGCATACCAGAGGCTTCAAATAGCAAGAACCATCACAATCCTCTCCTCCTGCGAAGATGTAGCAAAGCAAAAGCAGCTCGACCCTCGATCCTCAACCGTCGACGCTCCTCCTCCTCCTCCTGCTCCTCATCGCTACTGGCTCCACGCTCCTCCTTCTCTCACCTCGGCCCCCCTTCTCCTCCTCCCCCTCCTCCTCCGCAGCGCTCCCCCTCCTCCTCCTCCTCCACAGCGCTGCTCCTCCTCCTCCACAGCGCTGCTGCTGCTCCTCCTCCTCCTCCTCCTCCTCCTCCTCCTCCTCCTCCTCCTCCTCCTCCTCCTCGGAATTCAAGGGGGACATGTTCAAGCAGGCGCTGGGCCACGCGCTGGCGCACCTCGGGGCCATGAAGAGCCGCTCGGGGGGCCCGAAGACGGGCCTGGAGAGGGCCGTGGAGGCGCAGCTCAACAGGAGGTGAGCCCAGGCACGCCCCAGCCGATGCCCAGCAGCTCGCCCCGCCGCGAGCGAGAGAGCCCCGCGGGCCAGCCCCCCCCGGGCTCGCAGCCTAGCGGCGCCGCCAGCTCGGCGCCGATTAGCGCTCCCGAGTCACGCCTCAACTCCATGGGGCGCCCTCGTGCCTGGCCACCTTCTGCTCCGCCAGTCACTCGAGAGGAAAAAATCGCACAGCAGATCAGCACAGACCTTGTTCGTATGACGAGTCTCAGGGGCCAGGCCGAACAACACGGAGGCCAGATGGCCTACCTCTATCGGATGGCTACATACTATCGGGACCTACGGCCAAGGGACTACTACCAGCCTATGGCGAAAAAATAAGGGTGGACGGCTGACTTACTAAACCAGCCGCCACCCTACTATTACACGGGCTGCCACCACCTACGCCCCCCTCCCACACCAACTCCAACCTACTATTCCTCAGGCTCTCGGCTCACGACTAGTTCCACTCGCAGTCGATCTCCCCCCGCGCGCGGCCCCTCTGTCAGATACGACTGCTGATGCCCACATCGGCGCCGACGTATTCGTGACTCTGGTCGCCAGTCTTCCGCAGCCTCTACCGCCATCTTAGAGCTGTAGTTGCGCCGGCAGCCTCGGGAGTGGACAAAACAGCGAGACAGCTCACCTTGGCCTCTAATAGGGACATGCAGCCTCACCAGCCTCCAGGAGCCCAGACAGCACACATAAGGTCCCGAGCAGTATATAGGAATCGGGGCCCACGTTCAGGGATTCACGTATTGGACTTCGCACGGCAGCACGACAGCACACGGCTACAATTTACATACTGCGTACTAGGGACACGACCGCACTGGGAACTATCACACCACAACATTCAGCACAGCCATGCGCGTGTGGTCCGACCTCGGTTCGACCTCCTTTCCTCCGCCCAGCTACCTCCAACCTTAGCTACCATCGTTGCTACCTCCCTCGACCCTCAGCGTGACGGAGGGCGCGAGGAAGAGTCGCATACCAAGGGCAGGCCCAGGATCCCGACTCCAGCGAACTACCGAGCCTACGCCTACTCCTACCTCAAGGCTCCCACTACGGTCCCTCTCCGCTCCAACCTTTCGGGAACTAAGGAAACTACTACACCACCTAAGGTGAACAACAGCCAGGCGGGGTCAACTAAGGTAAACCGAGACCCAGTACCCAGTCCGACATACCATCAGTAGACATCGACGACTCGAGCTTTCTCGCGACTTCCAGGGCATTGTAAAAGCAGACCCAGGACACCAACAAGCCAGAACATGGACGCCGTCTACTTTTCTCGTGGACCCACGACCTGGGCAGCTACGGCGGCGCAGGCGACGACGGCGGCGCAAGCGGGGGCGACTGAGCAGCAGTCAGCCGCAGCAGGAGCGGAGCTCAACCCGCAGCCCACGGTAGTGCAGAAACCCCACGACAGGGGGGGCTACGGAGCGGCTGACCAGGTCTCGGGCACGGTGGCGTACAGGCTCGAGGTCGCGCACAACACACTCCAGAGCACGTCCGAGGCGTTCACGGAGGCCACCGAATACGGCGAGATGGCACTCCACGTCCTTCACCAGCAGAGGGAGCGGGTGGTGACCACGCTCGGGCGTATGAACGGCAGGAGCCTGAACCCGCACGAAGAAGCTGAACGCAGCCAGGCAGAGCTCTACCTCAAAGAGCAGCTGCGCGACATTCACCACGCAATCAGCGCGTTGAGGAGCGCGATCGGCACCACGGACGACAAGCTTGGCAAGATGGTGCACGGACCGATGCCGTGGGAGCTCGACTACATGAGGCGCCAGGCGGACGAGATCGACCACATCTACACCCGCTGGACCAAAGGGCCGCAAGGCTACGCCTACGACGAGGCTTTCTTCTCCACCCAGAGTGCGACGGCAGCGACGGCGGCGGTGACGAAGCAGCAGGCCCTCCTCCAGCCCACGCTCAGGCCGGCCTGCCCGAGCCCGAGCAAGAGCGTGCAGGGCTGGGAGCAGCGCGGGGTGGTCGTGGCCGAGGCCCCAGTCGCCGCGACGAAGGCCGACCGCAGCCCAGGCGCAGCTCCGAGTGGAGACGTGCGTCTCTTGTCGCCAAGGACGGCGTCGGCGGCAGGCTGGGGCATCGGGCTCGGGACGATGTCGTGAGCTGAGAGCTGTTTCCAATCGTCTCAGGCCTTCTTTTCCCCCCGCGAGAGCACCAACACGCTCGACCCAGGCAGTAGAGGTTGGCACAGCATTCCTTGTGTGAGCCAGTGCGGCCACGCCACCTTCATATAGCCTTCCTCTGCTTGGATAGAGCCGTGTGTGAGCGGGGGGAAACGCGTTGGGTGCGTCCTCGGATCACGCTCGTGACAGCGACAGCTTGCCTCGATCCAGCCAGTGCATTCGCTATCCCAGTGTATGTTTGCTCGGTCTCAGTGCACAGCGAGTGTGATGGGAGTGGGGACGGGACGCGTCCATCAAGTACAAGGCCGCCTTTTTTTTTCTTGCCGCCTTGAGGGCGGGGGGGGAGAGGGGAGCGAGGGTGGGTGGGCTCTCAGCGGCGGGGGGTGCGCCCACAGAGTGCGGCAGCTCCCCTCCGCCTGCACCAGCTCCAGCGCTCAACCGAGGCAGGGTTCCCCTGCTAGCGAGGCTCGGGGACCACGTCTCAACGGAGGCGGGCCCCGTCGCCTCAGGCGGCCCTCACAGCCTATAGGTGGTGAATGGGGGCTCGCATCCATGTTTCCCCAGGGGTCGGCATGCCTGTCGGTAGGCGAAGTTGACAGACCCCCAAGGGCCTTATCCTTATCCTTATCCTATCCTATCCTCCTCCTCCTCCTCCTCCTCCTCCAGCAGTGTCGCTCCTCCTCCTCCTGCAGCGCTCCTCCCCCCCCTTCGCTCCTCCTCGCTCCCCCCCCCCCCTCGCCCCTCCGCCTCGCCGCCGCCGCGCAGGAGGCGCTCTGCGGCCGCCCCTGCCCCCCCCCCCCGCGCGCCGAGGCCAAGGGCTCCCCCGAGCAGGCCCGCAGCCCGCCCCGCCCCCCGGCAGCGGCCCGGCAGCGGCCCGGCGGGGCACGCCTCCCGGGAGGGCCTGCCGAGCGTGGCGTCCTGGGGGCCCACTGAGATGACCGCGGCGGCCGCTAAGGGGATAGGGAGGTTAGAAGTGGATGCGAAGGGTTGTTATAGATTGCCGAACCTAGCTTATAAGTAGGCTACACGTGCGCTAAATAGTTTTTTCGTGGTTATAGAACTCCACTAAGTGGGCGGAGCCCACCTTAGCCCGGATCGTCAACCTCCTAAATCACTTAGGGCACCTGTAATCCATTTATAAAGTCGGATCGGCCAAATATAACCACCTTAGCATCCGCTTCGAAGCTTCCTATCCCCTTAGCAGCCGCCGCGGCCATCTCAGCAGAGCCCCTCGAGTTAGGACAAAAATCGCGGCGGGAGGCGTTTCGCCATCTTCGGCCTCCGTGGGCCCCCACTCGGGCCCCGGGGCCGTCCAGAAACGATGCGGGGTGAAAAGCCGGCCCCGGGGAACGGGCCCAGACCTCGAGGGGTCGACGTCATGGAAAAAAACGAGGATGACGTCGGGGGCCCGGGGAGGCGACGAGCCCAGGCCCGCTCCACACTCCCGAGAGAGTCCTGGCGGGAGGCCTCTGTGGCCTGCTTTCTTTCTGCCTCATGGGGGGGCCCTCGCCCGGCCATCGGGGCCGTCAAGAGGGGCGGCTCGCGACGACACGCCGGTCCGGGGGAGCGCGTCCAGACCTCCCCGGGCTCGGCGTGCTGAGCAAAAGCAGGCGATCGCAAACATGGGGTAAGGGGGCCGTGGATTGGCGACGGGTCCCGCTTCCATGGGAAATCGCGGATTTCAGCCGCCGAACGAGGCGGCACCAGCCGCATTTTGGGGAGGGCACTTCCCCCGATCCATAGATTTGGCGACCGCGCGCCACGTCGATGGATCGCTAATCCATGTCTGCGCTCCCCCGGCAGAAGGCATGACGTCGGGGGTCTGGGAATTTGTGGGGCGGAGGCAGGTGCACCTTTGGCGCCCTCCAGGGGGGGCCTGGAAGGGGCCCCCCTGAGGCCGAGAAGGGGCACGGGCCGTGCACGTGTCTCCCCCCCGTCCTCCCTTCTGTATCGTCTCCCCGTGGAGCAAGTCCCAAGCCTAGGGCCTAGGCCTCCCAAGTGGGGTCCCAGCAGATGGGGTCGAAGGGCCGCTCCGCCTCGGCGATGCATCGACGACGCGGCTCGATGCGGAGCCAGAGTTTTCCGCGCCGATGGCACAGTGCTCTCCAGAGATCTTTGCCCTGGGCACTGTTTCCGAGTACGTACCCGCTGAGGGCACAGGCAATGAGCAGTCTCTGTTTCACTGCACACAGCCTGGAGCAAAGGACTCAAGTCGATGCCCCTGGACCGAAAATTCTCGGGCACGCGAAATTAGCAAAGGACCGAACGAAACCGATGCCCTCGCCAGACAAATCTTACTGGGTTGACAGGCGCCTCATCCGAAGAAAAAGGGTCCCGTGCACTTAGTTACCGTGCACCGAATTGCCCACTCGGCGTGCCAGCAGGCTCGGCGGCGATGAAGACCCTCACGGCCGCCTCCCCCATGTGACCTTCCGGCGTGTCTCTCATTGAGTAGAACGTCCCGTGGGTTGAGTACCACGGTTAGCCGCCCAGCCCCAGCCCTCGCGGCATAGGGTGACCGCGCCCCGCGGTGAGGGCACCCCGCAGGGAAGCAGTGCCGATGGCACCGACGCATCGGCGGTGAATTGGCGAGGCGGCGCGAGCTTCCGACCCCACCTCCGCGGACCCCATGTAGGGATCGGGCCGGACGAAAGGGGGGGATTGGGAAAGGGGGGATTGCGACATTTGCTGCATGCAGCTGGTTTCGGCCCCGCCGAGGGGCCCATTCCTCGATGCATGACCGCATCCGGCGCCGGGAGGCGCCGGGAAAATCAGCTACGTGAGCTGATTCTCAAACCCCGCCTTTGCTATCCCCCCCTTCTCGCCCGGCCCGAAGGGAGGCCTCCAGGAGTGTCCCTCCTCTGGAGTGGCCCCTGGTGCGCGGCCCTTTGGAGGGAGCCCAGGGGCTTCCCCGAGCCCAGACCCCCTCGCGTCGTGAACACGGGGTCACAGCCCTCCCAGAAGAGCAGTTTTAGACCCCCCGGGGCCAGGCCTGACAGGGCGGGCTTCTGCCCAGACCCCCATCGAACCCTCCGAGGCGGCTCAAATCAGAAACGCCGCAAATGGGACCCCCCCGTTTTTATTGTGGAGTCTGGAGTCATCTCCGAGGCGCGGTTTTTGGCCGTTCCTGGTCTCCCCCCAAGGTTGCTCCAAGCTTTTCGATGCGTCTAGGCCCCGCAGGCTTGGACCACTTCCCTGGGGCCAGTTTTCTGCCCCGAGCCGTTCTCTTGACGGTCCCGAGGCCCAGCGAGGACCCTCTGAGGCCGAAAACAGTCCAAAACCGGCGGCTCCGATTTTTTCGGAGCGTCGGATCTCTCTGAGCTTTCGGTCTCCAAAGGGCCCTCGCCGGGCCCCGAGCCCGTGAAGGAACAGGACAGGACCCGCGCGGCGACGAGGAACGGGCTCCGGGGAAAGGGCCCAGGCTTCCGGGAGCCACGCTGTGGACAAGCAATCGCAATGTGTGGCTGGTCATCCGCGCGGGAGTGGCTCCTCGCAGGCGGTTTTTCGCCTCCAGCTCTTGCTCTTCAGAGGAGGAGCGGGTACCGATACCGCTACCACTGCCTCGTTCTCGCCATTTGGGGCTCCTGGGGGGCCCTCATCACCACTGCTGGATTCGCCTTCGAAATTCTGGTCAGAACGCACCCTGGGAGAGCTCCGGGGAGTAGCGGTATCCGTACCATCTGAGCTCCGGGGAGTAGCGGTATCTGTGCCATCTGGTTTCCCCAATTTTTTTACGACACATCAAGCCGCTCAGAAAAGGAGAGAGACTCGGGGATGCACCCCAAAGGGGCTATTCGGACACACCACTATCGAGGGTGGGTGCCCCCCCCTATCGTATACATCCCGGTGAAAAAACTGTATAACACAAGTGGCACAGGGATGGAAGCGACATCCGCCTGTCAACGTTACGGAAAAACATATCGTCTGCGTTGCGCGGTGCACTTTAGCCATCCGACTGTGGGAACGAGGTCGCACGGAAGAACGTGGAACCGTTCTTCCGTGCGTGAACTTGGAAGAGCGCTCGGGCATTAAGTGGCATCCGCCTCCCAATGTCGCCACCGGGCGCGCAAGCCAAATCATGGCATATCAATAAATTTGCCCACGCTGCCAACATTGAAAGGCGAATGTCACTTAATGATACTCTTTGGGCGTTGCCCTCTGCAGATCATTCAAAACGATCGTCTTGTTGATGTTGTTATAACTTTTTCCCCGGCTGTATATCCCCGGGTTTGGCCCCGTATTTTTGGTCCAAGCGAAAACCCCACCAAAGGCGGGGATAGGGGTCGACAAATGTCGGCGTCGAGCCTGAGGGGGAATGACAACTTTGAAGGCCCTCTCAGAGTGCTCGGAAGTATTTTGGCCTTGTAAGAAGTTATCTAAGCCGAAGGCACAAAACTCTTCGTGGACGGCAGAGGGCTTCTGAGAAGCCCCGCCGCTTTCTGAGAAGGCCTTCTCCTTCTCTAGGCCTCCTAGATGGGGTCCGAGTAGACGGGGTCAGGGGATCGCGCCACATCGCCGATGCATCGGCGATGCCGCTCGATGCGAGGCCCGATTTTGTCCGTGCCGGCGTCGCCGATGCACCGCCGACGTCGCCGATGCATCGCCAGTAATGTATCGTCGGTGCGTCACCGATGCCTCGACGATGCGGTGCGATCCTCCGACCCCATCCAAGTACTCGTACCCCCAAAACTGGCCAGGCGCTTCTTTGATGCACGCTGCGTGGTGTTCGTGGGTCATCGTCGCTTGGGGCATGGGAGGGACAAATCTACCCGGACCCCATCTAGGAGATCAACCTTCGCACTTCCCACCTTCGCTCGCCGCCGAGCATCCCCTGTGAACTCCTAGGGCGTGGCGTTCTTCGGGGGTGGCGCCCCGGGGGGGGGGGGTGAAGGGCAGCCCCAGGCACACACTGGGCTCGAGCCAAATACCGTGTTTTGGCGATGTCGTGGGCAGTTTTCTTGTTGATTTTGTCTCGCAGCAGAGGCAGACTGAGGACGGAACGAGGTAAAACAAGCACAATGACGACCGATTTATGTCGAGCCCTGCCCAGGCACGCGGGCCGCTGCTACCGCATCGCATGGGCCGCGATATCGGCAAACCTCACAGCAGGAGTCGCCACCAGGTTGGGTCGCTTTTGGCTGGGGGGCGCTCTTGGACCTGCTCGGCCCGACGGCGTCCCTGACGCGTCGGGGATTTCTTCGATTTTCGGCTAGAGGGATCTTCTCGATCTCAGCCCTCATCGGCGGCGCCCGTGTTTTTTCAGAATCGTCAGTGATGCGGTTATTGGTTTCGGCATCTGGGGGTGCGATTCCGGGCCGCATGGGTGTCAGAAACAATTTGTTTGAGATGAGACATTGGACAGAGTGGGAAGGGTTTCAGGGTTCCGATTTTGAAGGCTCTGGTCCACAAGAAGGCAGCCACATCAGCCATCCTCCTCAAACTCGACCTCGCTCCCAGAATGCCGCGCGGACGAGGACCAGCAGCGATGGGTGGACGAGGATATGAGGAGATGGTAGAGGGCGATGTGGGTAGGGCGGGCAGATAAAGTTGAAGACCCGCTCAAGGTCAGGCTGGGCACTGATCTAACGCGGGTCTTACGATGGCCCTAGACGCTATCTCCATATCTTCAGCACTGTTCTTCTCTTTGTTCATCCTTCCGTCTCTCTCTCTCTCTCATTCCTCTACCTCCTGTTCGCCTTCTTTCCTTCTCCGACTTTAGTACGCAGACTTGTTTCACCATCCTTTGTCATTCCTCTCCTTTCGCCTCCTCTCTGCCGAGATCTGAACTGGCGCGCGCAATTCTCTTAAACTCACCTCCGCCCGTTCTCCCC